ATGCTTTCTTTCTTTCCATATTTTCCATTATTTTTTCTTTTTGCTCTACTCATTGTTAACTTCAAGTAAAATCTATTTTAGGTTTGCTATTTCTGCATAGTTGAGTCAGCTGTGGAAACTCACTGTTGAATTTTTAAACTTTTAGTTATGTTTCTGCATTGTTCTCTAAATTTTATTATTTACCTATGTGTGTTTTCTTGATCTTCTTTGAGATTCTTTAAAATGATTCTTTTGAATTCTCTTTTAGGGAATTTGCAGATCTCCATTTTGGGGTTGGTTATTAGAGTTTTATTAGTTACCTTTGCTGATATTCTATTTGCCTGATTCTTCATTATCCATATATTCTTGCACTTATGTCTGCATTTGAAAGAGCAGATACCTCTTTTAGTCTTTACAACCTGTTTTTGACAGCTTAATGACTTCTGTTTTGTTTCTGGGATGGTGAAATTATCTCCAAGATAACAGTCAAATAAGGTTGGAGATTCTGTGTCTACCGTGGCATCCATGGTTGGTGGGCCTGTTACTAGGTCTCTAATGGACATGGATTCTGTCCCATCTCAGACTCTGTCTAGTACATTGGTTTACAGGACTAGTGCTGGGATGATAGTCTGCCTCAGGGTGTACATATGGTGGGCCTATTACTAGGTGTGTGATATTGTGACTTTTGGGGAAGGCCTCCATTGTCATTGGGTGGGTTACTGGGTGGGCAACGCTGCCCTGGTCCACAGCTAGGAGGGGATGGAATGGAGTCCCAGGGCTTTGTCAGTGTCTATAGTTGAGACCAAGTTTTTCRTGCTTTGGGTTCATGAACATTCTATTATTTATTTGATGAGTAACTGGCTAGGGAGGATTTCGTTCAAGTCGCAGTTGAGAAGGACTTGAACTGAATTACAGGGGCATTTAAAGATCCACAGCAAGACCAAATTCAGCAGGTCAGATCATAGTTACTGCTGGTGACCATGTCTAATTCAGGTCCCTGTGGGGTGGGACTGTTCCCAAGCTACAGTGGAGGGGTGGAATTTTGATTAAATGCCTTATTAATGTCTTCTGTTACTATGGCAAAATTCAAGAGGATGTTTAATACATAAGGTAAAGAGGTTTATTTTGGTCCATGGATCTAGAAGCTAGGAAAGTGTCAGCAACTGGTCTTCTGATGAAAGACACATGCTACTCCAGAGTGTATGTACGGAATAAAGGGGTCATATGGTGAGAGAACAAGCAGAGAGTGAGTCAAAGAAGTGAAACTCACTTTTTTTTTTTTAAGTTTCAGAAATTTATTTATTTATTTTATGTGGTGCTGAGAATCGAACCCAGTGTTTCACATGTGCTAGGCAAGTGCTGTACCACTAAGCCACAACCCCAACCTGTGAAACTCACTTCCTAAACAACTTATTCTTATGCCAACTAATCCTGCCACACAGGTACCACATTAATTCCTTCATGATGGGAGAGGCTCAATGACCCAATCACCTCTCAAATGTCCCACTCCTCTCAACACTGTTACATTGGCAACAAAATTTCAGAGTGAGTCTTGGCAAGCACAAATCATAGCAGGGTATGTTTCTGATGTCAGAAAGCCTGTTCTGGGAATATAAATGGGTATATCTCCCAGTAGGTTCCTGAGGGAACAGGACTGATCCCAGACTGAAGCTGAGAGGGGCCAGAGTGAGGGTACATGGTGGTTCCATGGTCTGAGCTGGGACTGATGTCAATCAACCTGTCTTTCAAGGTTCTAATGAGTATGACTCCTTCCAGGTCCCTYGGTAGATGGTTTTGGTAGCAGGACCAAAGCCTGATAGGTTGTAACTGAACTCAAAGGGGGTGAGGCTATTTCTGGGTCTAGAGTGGGGACCTCTTTCAGCAAATCCCCCACCTGGGTTTGAGTCTACTCTCTTAAAACACTCCTCCTTGATCTTGGTCTTCACTAGAGTTTTACAAACTCCTACCTGAATTCCAAGGCATTTCATCTATGGATGGCTGCAAAATYATTGTTTCTCTGGTGGGATTTGAATGAAGAACTCCTATTCTGCTAACTTGTTGATGTTACCTTTTAGGTGAAATTTTTAAAAATTTACTTTTCTAGATTTTAACTTCAATTTTGTCACTTACAACTAATCATACCTATTAAAACTRACAGTTTTGATTGAGAATGAATGAATGAATGAGTAGTTATTTAATATTTTAACCTCAGGCATGCTGATATAGCTCAACATCAAATAATATTTTATCCATCTAAATATATTTATTTTTATCAAGGGAATTCTGAAGAATAATGTATTGAAAACCTAAACTGGAAAGAATGGTGCACACCTATAATGCCTGTAATTACAGTTACACAGAGGGCTGAGGCAGGAAGATTGCAAGTTGAAGACCAGCCTGGCCATACTTAGTGAGACCTTTCTCAACAAAACAAAAGACTGGAAGGTAGCTCAGTGGGAGAGTGCTTGCTTAGAATGTGTGAAGCTTGGGGTTCTAGCCCCAGTACACCAAAAAAAAAAAAAATAAATAAATAAAATAAAATAAAATAAAAAGAAATAATAATAAAATAAAATGCAGAAGTTTAAAGAACTCAAGCAGAGAAAATAAGTTCAGCACTAGTATTTTTTTGTGCCAAATACAAAAATTGAAAGTGTAGTAATTGCTCAGAATAATTAGTGAGACATGTATGTATACACAAACACACACACACACACACACACACACACACACACACATATATATATATACATATATATTTCTATTGAAATGTTATGAGTTTTGTATTTTTTTCCATTATAACATAAATGATAAAAAAAAATTGAGGAAAAGAAGTCCGTCATGAGACACATACCTAGTATAGATGAGGCCTTAGGCCCCAGCATCAGAAATCAAAATGCAATATGAAAACAATGCCCCCAAAACCAAAAAAGCAAAAGCAAATAAATAAAAAAGATATAATCCTAAAATTCAGAAGCCTAATATTTAAAAAGAAATTAAAATCTAAGATTCTCTTAAGAAAATGTTTGTGTTTAAAATGGAAACCAGTTAAGTGCACGAGTGGTTAGAATTCTGTCCCTCCAGATATTATAGAATATGTAAACAAGTTTTTAGAGGCACTTGGAAAATGGACAAACTAAATGACACACTTAGAAGTCCCTATTGTTCTTCAACAGAAGCGCAAGTGTCCTATATTCTGGAGTTGGGTGTTGAGATAAATTGATTTCAAAATAGCCTGTGTGTGAGAATTTCCTGTTCAACCTTAAGTGACACATTGATGAGAAATCTTCTTTTTCCATTCTTGACTCACTCTGAGCCTTCAGAGGGCAATCTGTGAAGATCATAGAAATTGTTTGTTCTTATCCTGGACTTAGGTCATTCAATTTCACCTTTTCTTACTCAGCAATGGCAGACCTCTTCCCACTAAAGGATGCATGACTTTCTGGCAATACAAGGTATGTGTTGCTACTCTCTGTTTCTGATAGCCCACCTCAGATAGAGGGGGTTTGCAAATACTAGATATGCTGCACCTGAAGTACAAGTCATAGACAATAAGATCAAAGTACAGCATCCATGTCTTAAATTGGTTGAGGAAAATTCTTACAATATGAAATACATTGGAGGATTTCTTAAAGGTTTCTAATTATTGCCTAATTAATCAAGTGCATCCATATATATTGGGKTTTGTTAATCAATATGATTTAAAATGAAACCCAGGGGCATTGAAACAATAGACCATTAAWTTTTTAATATTATAATAAGTAAGCTTTGGATATTTGAAAAATAACATTAATTTATATTTAGCTCAGCCATTATAGAGTCTTAACAGAAATTTCTATGAATGGTGAAAGCCAAACGTAAGTCATCAGATACTTACTTAGATCGTAAATAAATGTAGTCTATGCTTTCAATAAAAATCCGTATGAGCTAGCTTAAACCAACTACTAAACTTAATAAAGACTTCTAAACAATTAATCAATAAATATATATCAAAATGATATGTAAGATCCTTGTATAAAGGTTTCTTATACATAGCATAGCTGAGATGATTCATAAACAATGACATAGCAATTATAACTTAAATAGTAGTTTAAATAGCTAACATTTATGGAAAATTTTAAGTGCCAGATTGTGTTAAGTGTTTACATGCATTATATTTTATATATTCATGTTTGAATTTTAGAAGAGTAAACTTGGTTATTGGTAATTATAAAATCACTTTATCTGCATTATTCTAATTACTTATACAACTAAAGTAACCCTCACTGATTTTCATGACCATAGACTATCTGGAAGTTTCAACTTACAATGAAAGCTCTATACTTTATCATTTCATGATCTCATAGCCAATTATTTTCATAAAATAAATATTAAAATTACTTTTGTAGCCTTTTCAATACTGTTTATGTCATGCATATGTTTATAATGTCAGGGAACATTTTTCAACATATACAATATCCTTAATTTTTAGTAATTTCAAAATAACTTCTCAATTATTCAAAATAAGACTATTTAATACTTCTAATCCATTTTAATAAATACATATAAGCCACTAAATAAAGGTAGGACAGTGCAAGAAATTAAGATGTGTCTACTTTTCAATTCTCTGTTTAAACACTTTTAAACCTCATTGGATGTCAATTTATCATAAAGTCCACATATACTTTCTTCTATTACAGCATTGTGATCTTTCATGCCAATATTATTCTTCATGATCTTAAATTATTTCTGTGGAAACCAATTTTATTAAAGATATCCTTATTCATAAGCATCTTAATTTGTCACTAATTTATTGTTTGATGCCCCACCAATAATATTTTGTCAAAAGTAGAGGATCCTTAAAATATTACCTAATTTAACCATAAGTTTTAATGTTTAATTCTCTAGGGAAAGATTTACCATCTTCAAAAGCAAAGTGGGCACCAACACTTGCTCCTCACCCCGCCCACTGACTGCATTAAGGGTCTCATCACCACATATGCCATTAGTTAAGCACAATTACAGAGTACAGTCCTTGACATCAACTCAGCTGCAGAAATGAGTAATCAAGGAGTGATCTACACAGAACTGAATCTTGGCAAGAACCCAAAGAAGCAACGAAGAAAATATAAGGACATTAAAAGCTCCATTTCAGTAACTGAGGAGGAAATAACCTATGCAGATTTAAATCTTCAAAATTCTTCTCAGGAACATCCAGGGAATGATAAGGACAACCACTGCAAAGGTAAAATTTGTAATCAATCCTCAGTGTCTAGCTGTTCTAGGATGTGTAGTTGGGGTGCAGATGTGTGGGTAGGAAGTAGGGAATAAACTCTCATATTTGTGAGGATAGGAATTCTAACTTGAGCCGTTACTCTATTTTAAAATATGAAGACTAGCTGTTGTCACATTGTTGAAGTTTCTAGTCCTTGATAAAGAACTTCTGGAGCATTGTGTTCACTGAAAATGTGATGGTGTATTCTAAAGACAGATTACAGTGGTAGATGTGAAATTGGGTCCAAGTTTATCTTTACGATTCCCAGTGTATGGGGTTTCTCTTGTATGTAAACCTTCTGAACAGCTATCTGCATCCTCCTTTCTCAGTGCTACCATTTCTCCTCCGCAGAGTTTCCATCACCTCCAGAAAAGCTCATTGCTGGGATCCTGGGAATCACCTGCTTTGTCTTAATGGTCACTGTGGTGGTGATGATTACAGTTGTTATTCCATGTAAGAATATTTTTGGAAGATTATAAGGGAAGTTTTCACTAATCATTGGAAGGTCCTCTATATATTTCATTTCAGGGAACAGAACTTTCCTTTTAATATTTAGACTAAATGTGAAGTGGTTATTCTGAATTTTTCAAAAATATAACTGAAGGATTGCAGTAAGTATTTTAAATTATGTTTATCTATTGTGATTTTGTAACTCAAAAACATACTTCAGGAGACTGGGAAGTTTCACTGAGAAATATAAGTTGGGTTCTGAAAGTGGTTATGCTAAATATTGTACTGAAAGAGATGGTGATGTTAGGTTTTCATTGAAATAATATTTTTCTTTATTGATTTTCTTTTAAAAATCAATTTGAGTCTACATTTTTCTCATTCTAAATAATACATATATGTTACACTAAGAAACTAAAATGATTATGATGTATTTGGATATTAATTTTTATAAGACCTATTTTAACTTTTCTAGCTACTGTAATACAGGAGGAGAATAATTCTTCCCTGATAGGAACCCAGAAAGGTACATAATGATTTTCAAAGTTCTGATATATTTGTATATATTATGTTTTTCTATGTGACTAAAGCCATGCAAAGATGGTAATCAATTTCTTGGGGAAAAATACATTTAGAAAAATTAGCACTAAATTCCCATAAATAAAGATTATAGGAGGACTTTTTGTCCAGACAATAAGATGAAATTCCAATTTAAAATAACTGTATAATCTTTTGGCCTAATGGCTCCAATTTCCTAATTTTGGTATATTACATGGCATAAACTAATTTTATATTCTAGTAAAAGAAGTGTTCTGTGATCTTTAAGAGTCTCATGTGAGGTTTTTCTCTTTGTTTGCTTTCTATGGGCACATCCATGGGATGAGAGGCTGGTCCTTTTCCGTGTTTGTGTATATAAGTATATTTTTGGTTTAATATGTAACAGCCCAAGGGGTACATAGGTATGTTATATACATTTTTTATGTACACAAATATGTAAATTCATTTTAATTTTAAAAAATTTACCTCATTTCTGAATAAAAATTCATGAAAATCTTCCTTCAGCATATCATTGTAGACGTTGTCCAAAGGAATGGTTAACATATTCGAATAACTGTTACTACATTAGCATAGAAAAAGTGACTTGGAATGAGAGTTTGGTGTCCTGTGCTTCTAAGAACTCTAATCTGCTTTATATAGACAATGAAGAAGAAATGGTAAGGTTTTAAATGTTTCATTCTATTAAAAGCCTTTTCATGGGCAATATTATATTTATAGAATTCATTCATATTCTTGTACATATTTGCCAGGTATTTACAAGACTGAATAATATTTCATTATTTGGCTTTATGATTTTATCTTTATTTGTATGCTTTAATATACATTTGTTTATTTCCTTTTTATGAAAAGTCATGCTCATAAAAATTTTATCCTTTCATTCTGAAATAAACTTTACTATTTAATTTTATTTCACATAAAGAAAACTAAACATCTCTTGATTGTGCAGATTGATTGCAAGGTGACTAGACTGAGGTAATTACAGTCAGAACACTAGATTAAAAAGGTTCCAATTCCCACCTGTCCCATCCTTGCATATGTGCTCAACATTCTGGCTCCTGCCTAAACCACTATCTTGGCTTCTGCTATAATAAATTAGCTTTGCCTGCTTTTGAACTTTACATGAATGCAATCATAACTATGCATTTTTATTTTTTCCCGTTTCAATCTTATATGGTATTTGGGTGATTTATCCATCTTATTACATTTACCTGTTGTTTTCTAATTTTCACTACTGTATTATGTGGATATAACATTTAAAAATCCATTCCAATATCTGGTCTCTGGATGGGAGCGGTGAGTCTCATGCCCCCAGGGACAAACAGACTTCCATGGTGGAGCTTTTGAACTCATGGAATTCCTTTTTCTGAATCCCCTCACGCTGTTGATGGATATTCTGAAAGATCATCTTCACCAATGGTTTCTACTGTGTCAGGTCCTGCTAGTGGGAGTCCCTTTCACACAGAGAAGCTTATAAGAGCCACCTCTTATTACTAGGTTGGGTAGGGAGCCAGCATGCAAGGGGCACTTTCTTCTTTTGGATAAGGGATTTAAGTATTAGGGTCCTTTGTGGTTCCCTAATACTACAGTGCCAAACCATTTTTACCTCTTTCTTTCCATCTTTCAGAATTCTTTTTTGCTCCTGTCTTTCACTAATCCCATAATTTACAGTTGTATTATCATGTAGCGGCAGAGAGATACAAATCAATGCCACCTTCACCGAACTATCAGCATTTCACAAATACAGAAACAGATAACAGTAGAGACTTTAAAAAATGGTGTGGTGCATATAACACCTGATTTTGGGCTTCCATGTAATTTATTTCTTCAGTGGAAACCCTTAATTTCCTTCTAAAACTCATACTCTGAGGAACATAGTGGAAAAATACATTGATTTAGTCACAGCCTCTGGAGAATTAAATATATAGTATCTGGAAACTTATTTAATTCTTGCTATGTTTATTTTGTTAACATGTGTAACAGAATACATGAATCACGGTATTCCTTATTCACAGAAACAGCATGTGGTTATTAAATATTTAATTTTAAAGTTCAAAAAATGTTCAATTATGAACATTTATGCAAGGTTTTCAACAATACAAAAAGTGGGTTTATTGTTTATCCAATTAATTGGTTGGGAACATTAAGGTACTATGACATAATGTACTATTTTTAAAAATAATGAAAMCTTTCACACTGATTATTTAAATAAAAATTCTGTTTTCTGGCAGTCTTTTCTACATTCCCTCTCACTTCTGTCATGGGTTGGAGTCTTTCGTAAGAGCAAGGATCATCCATGGGAATTGATAAATGGCTCAACTTTCAAATTAAAGTAAGTTTTTTTTTAAAAAAATTATGCTACATCTAAAAAAATTTATGTTCAAAAGAATAGTATTAATAATTTGACTTATAAACATGTAAAAAATATTGCAAATCAGTGAAATGTTGACATAAATATTAAAGAATGGATTGTCTTTATAATTACTAGCTTTTACTAAAATTATATGAAAATGTCATTCATTTTAGTATTGTTTTTCACAATTACAAGAAAAATTCTTTCACTTAATAGATTTTTTTCTATAAAATATAACTGAATTCTGCACTTTTCATCATTACAGGGTAAAGGAATCATCAGATGATGAACGTAACTGTGCTATGCTGTACTCATCTGAGCTTAAATCAGACAGTTGCGTATCTTCGAATACATACAATTGTAAACATAAGCTTTAACATTAATATACCTAAATCTGAAGTCTGTCAGGTAATTTTGTATTTCATGAGTGGAAATAATATTAGGATTGCCTTAGTCTTAGAATGGAATTATATCATTTGTTTAAATAACAAAAATTTTCAAAAACAATTATTGAATTCTATTATATGCCAAAAATAAAAATAATACTTTGTGTCTGTCTTTTTTTACTCAATATTGTATTCATGACATTCAACCTTTATAAAAGATTCCATGTTACCTGAGTTCATTTCTGTGAAATGCCAAAAACAGACAAACCTGTGGAAACAGTGTGGATTAGTGGTTACCGAGGGCTAAGATTATGACGCAATGGAACATGACCACTACTAAGTATGTGTTTTTTTTTTTTTTTTTCGGAGTAATGGAAATTGTTTAGATTTCTGATGATTGTAGCTATGTGAATATTCTAAAAATCACTGATTTATAGAATTTAACAGTATGAATTTTATGCTGGGTACTTCAATGATGCTGTTAAAACATTTTTTCCAGTATTATCTTTGAGATTGTATTGACTCAGGTAAAGTTTAGTCATCCTTATAATATTGACTTTTCTAGTAAATATCATGCTATGTCCTTCAACATATTAGGGTTATTTAATTTTTCTTGATCACATGTTCTTTTGATATTAGTCTTACAGAAATTTAAGTATTCACAATAATGGTTTTGTAAATGACATACTTATTTTTAAATGTAAATTGTTTTTAGTAATTTTTGTTGCTGCAAATAAAATTATAATTGATGTTTGTATGTTGATCTTATATCCAATGCCTTCACTGATTTTATGTATTAATGCTGTCATCCAAATATAGATTATTATGTATTTTCTCTGTAAACYACTGCTTTATATATAAATAATTACATTTCTATTTTCTTTCCAAGTGCAATTACTTTTCCTGACTTGCTTCACTGGCTAGAATTTGATTTTCAAGGTTCTACTTACATTATGTGTATCATTTCCTACTCTAGAAAAAAAATTTCAACATTTCATCTGATTTATGAATTTTTATCACAACTTCTCCAATAGATACAGTTCTTTAATATTCTTATTTTTCTATTAGACTTTGTTATCAAGTGATTTTTTATTATTATTTTTTGTATCAATTGGAATGATGTTTTCTCTGTATGGTGTTTAGGAAAAAATTACCTATATATTTCTAAAATATTAAATAATCTTGAATTTATGAAATAAAATTGGTGTTAGTGGACCATGAACTGAATCTCTCAAACTATGAGCCAAAATAAATATTTCCTCTTCCAAGTAATTTTACCAGGTGTTTCATAATGAAATATGTCCATGATGAAAGCTGACTGACTCATGATACCATATGTATTTGTAGAATTAGTCTTTAGAATGGTTTATATAACAGATTAAATTTTTTTAATAAATTTATTTAATATCTAGTTTTGCTCAGCTATTTGTTATACTAAAATTTTAAATAGGTATTTTGTAGGAATTTTCTATTTCCTATAGATGTTAAAATATGTTCTTACATGAGGATTAGAAATTCTGCTTATTTATGCAATCCAAATGAGTGATATGTTTTTTTTCCCATCCTTTCACTTTCAGTTTGTGAATGTCTTTGCCTATGAAATGAATCTCTTGGAGAGTGTTTATTGTTGGATCTTTTTTTTTCACTTATTTTAATTTGTAATATATGACAGCAGAATGCATTTCAATTCATATTACACATATAGAGCACAATTTTTCATGTCTCTGGTGTACACAAAGTAGTCACACCATTCGTGTCTTTATACAGGTACTGTCCATCTCATTCCACTGTCTTTTCTACATCATGCCCCTTCCCTTCCCTTCCCTCCCCTTTGCCCTATCTAAAGTTCACCTGTTCCTCACATGGCCCTTCATCCCCATTATGAATCAGCAGAAAACGTATCAGAGAAAACATTTGGAATTTGGTTTTGGGGATTGGCTTACTTCACTTAGGATTCATTCATTTACCTGCAAATGCCATGATTTTAATCTCTTTTACTGTTCAATAATATTCCATTGTGTATATATATCACATTTTCTTTATCCATTCATCTACTGAAGGGCATCTAGGTTGGCTCCACAGTTTAGGTATTGTGAATTGTGCTGCTATAAACATTGATGTGGCTGTGTCCCTGTAGTATACCTTTGGGTATAGATGGAGGAGAGGGATAGCTGGGCCAAATGGTTGTTCCATTCTCAGTTTTCCAAGGAATCTCCATACTGCTTTCCAAATTGGCTGTACCAATTTGCAGTCCCACCAGCAATGTATGAGTGTGCCTTTTCCCCCACATCCTTACGAACACTTATTGTTGTTTGTATGTATAATAGCTGCCATTCTGTATGGAGTGAGATGAAATCTTAGAGGAGTTTTGATTTGCATTTCTCTAATTGCTAGAGATGTTGAATATTTGTTGATTGATTATATATTACTTCTGAGAAGTGTCTGTTCAGTTCCTTAGCTGATTTATTGATTGGGTTATTATTATTTTTTTGGTGTTAAGTTTTTTGAGTTCTTTATATATCCTAGAGATTAGTGCTATATCTGATGTGTGTGTAGTAAAAATTTGCTCCCATTCTGTAGGCTCTCTATTCACCTCGATGATTGTTTCTTTTGCTGAGAAGAAGCTTTTTAGTTTAAATTTATCCCATTTATTTATTCTTAATTTTATTTCTTGCACTATAGGAGTCTTCTTAAGGAAGTCAGGGCCTAATCCTACTTTTTCTTCTATTAGTTGCAGGGTCTCTGGTCTAATTCCTACATCCTTGATCCACTTTGAGTTGAGTTTTGTGCCTGGTGAGAGATAGGGGCTTACTTTCATTTTGTTGCATAGGATTTTCAGTTTTCCCAGCACTGTGGTGAAGAGGTTATCTTTTCTCTAATATATGTTTTTGGTGCCTTGTCTAGTATGAGATAACTGTATTTATGTGAAGGGGCTTGTTTTTTAATCCAATCTGCCAATCTATGTCTTTTGATTGATGAATTTAGGCCATAAGCATTCGAGGTTGATGTGATTTGTATTTCTGGTCATTTTGGTTTATTTCTAGTTTTTAATTTGAATTAGTTTCTCCTTTGATTGACTATTCTTTTAGTGTAGTTCCTCCCTTTGCTGGTTTTCACTTTTTTTTTTTTTTTCATTTTATCCTCATGGAATATTTGATTGAGAATGTTCTGTAGTGTAGGCTTTCTAGTTGTGAATTCTTTTTAACTTGGTTTATCATGAAGATATTTATTTCATCTTCAAATCTGAAGCAATTTTTCTGGATATTAAATTCTTGGTTGGCATCCATTTCTTTCAGAGCTTGATATATGTTATTTCAGGATTCCTAGCTTTGAAGGCCTGGCTTGAGAAATCTGCTGAAATCCGAATTGGTTTCCCCCTATATATAATTTGATATTTTTCTCTCTGGCCTTTAGGATTCAATTCTTATTCTGCATGTTAGTGATTCTCAATATAATGCAACTCTGTGGATGGTCTATTGCCAGCTTTCTTTATCCAAGGTCCAATTCTAGGGTTAATTATCCTTTTCCTGCCTATGCCTCAAATCTTGCACTCTTTGCTTATTAACAAATGTGTGAAGCTGTTAAAAAATTCTTATTATGGTTTTAATATGTTTAATATCTGTAAAACCATAATAGTATTCTAATTTTTAATTCAGACATAAAATATTTAGACATTTCCAAATCTTTTATTCAACAATGTTTTGTCAATTTTATTATGTCTTTTCAATGAAAGTACCTTTGATTTTATTGATCTTTGCTACTGTAATTTTGTTTTCATGATTTTATACTATTTATTGTTTCTACTTTCTGGTTCATTTGTGTTTAATTTTAGCTTTTCTCTTTTTAGTTTCTTATAACACATGCTCAAAATTCAATTTCTTTTCTTTTTTCTTAATATTGCCTTCAAGTCAATTTTGAAAGAAAAGTTTTTCTGATTATATTTTCCTTGTAATTCATATAAAAATTGTGAACATTCATTGTGATCATCTCCTCTTCATCATCCTCTTCTTCCTCCTCCTCCTCCTTCTTCTTTTTCTCTTTTCCCCCTTTGACACTAGGAATTGAACCCAGAGGCACTTTACCTCTAAACTAAATCCCCAGGCCTTTTTTAAGAATTTGAAACAGAGTCTCACTCATTTGCTTAGGGTATCACTAAGTTTCTGAGACTGGCCTTGAATTTGCAATCTTTCTGTCTCAACCTCAATGCTAGGATTACAGGCATGTGCCATTGTACCTGGCTCACTGTGATTTTTTTTTTTTTAGCCCATAAACTACGTAGAAATATATTGCTGAATTAAAAACCATATATAAAATTTTTGGTTATTGGCTTCTTTTTTAGGTAAATAGAATTTTCTGTGAGGCTGAAATGCTCTATTATCTGAATGTTGTTAATATGACTGAGAAAATGATTTTTAAATTTTATTTATTTTTTATTTGAATTCCTATATTTCAAGAATCTACTGGAAAAACTTGACTAGTGTCTTCTGCATTGGGAGCATAGTTCCATATATTTTTATGTTACTATCCTTAGAAACTTGACAAAATGATGTATTTGGAAAGATTTCATGGGAATTTAAAACATGATTATTTTATGTTAGTATAAAGTCCATAGCTATGTGCATATGCATATTTTATTTGTTTATTTTTTAGAGACTGATATATCTCATATGATAAGCAGAAATAGAAAAGTTTTAAATACTCATTAATGATTTTTTTGGCTTTTCAGTTCTTTTTAATCCTATGTCAAACTTGTTAGTTTAGGTATGCATGCATTATTTTTAAAAGTTAATTGGATAACGAATCTTCCACTTTAAATTATGCTTCTTCACTTCTAATGATTTTTCCCTAATATTATGATAGTTCATTAATTCTCAACAAATTTCTTTTGGTTTGTGCTGCTCTTCCTTCACCTTTTTACTTTCATCTTTCTTTATTAAAAGACTATCTCACTAAAATAACAAACATAATTTTTTCATTTAAGAACTTTTATTTATGGAGAACATTTTAGTTGCTTGGGGTACATGCAATACATGTACTGACTTTAGGAAGACAAGTATTTATTTTTAAACATAAACACATGTACTTAACTTGGGTAGTATTATATTTATGGTTAACATAATTATCACATTATTAAATATATTACATATGGAT